GCTTGAAAATCAAGTAATTTTCTTATACTCTGTTTACATGGTCAATAATCTAAACAAATGTCTTCCAGTCATTGTTTTAACCATCTGTATTTCTTGAAATCTTTGTCCAAATTATGATATAATGCATAAGTTTATTCAAACTGTAAGGAGGCAGGCATTGTGGAAACTGCTAAACATTTTGATAATTCGAATGTGAGGCATTTTCAACTGCAATGCAGCCAAACAGGTCTGTAGGCCGTAGAAGTAACCTTTGTCTTCTAACATTTTGCAAACTGAGACCGTGCTATTGGCAGTTTTATTCACTCTGGACCTTGAACTTGTATCTTTATTGATAGACTTAATACTGCTAAGCTTAATACTGCCCTTACGAAAAAGTCCTATAGGATCCTATAGGAAATTGGCCCAATTTCCTATAGGATCCTATAGGATCTTATAGGATCCTATAGGACTTTTTCGTAAGGGTGTTCATGATATATAACTTCTCTTTAATGGACCTTACATGATGTTCAACACTTACCATGTAAACTGGGCATAAATTGCACACCCTTTCTTTTCTTTGTTCATACCTTTTTCCTTTACTACATTTTGTCAGTGTACTTATTGTGAAGTCTAACATTTCTTGGCTCTACTCTACATGTGGATGATTATTCTGATTTTACAGTTGGAAGTACAAGTTTACTGACACAGGTTGCCAAAGATATCATTATTGAAATTATTAGGTGTTTTACATCATGTATTTATGTATAAAATGTTTAATTTGTCCCAACAGAAAGATGGCTGTTGACCAAAAATGCAAATAATACAGATAGAACTGTATATTTGGCAAACCTGACTCTCTGTTTATTCAGATGCATAGTTGCACAGCTTTGAAAATGTGTTAGTTGTGACAGTGATTGTGATGTGATGTGATGTGGTGTTCAGTGAAGGCAGATCATTGTCCTTTCATGTGGTCAGGAAGTGGATTGTGATGTCATTGTTTTTGATATGCAAAATGTGATCAGAATATTGGATATGAATATGAATGTCATATGACCATTTTTACCTATGCCAAGGAGGTTATATTTCACCTCTGTCTGTCTGTTGGTTTGTTACCATTGCAAAATAGGGCCAATGACCTTGGCTTCATGCGATGGATGTACTCTCCAATATCAGTACAGGGTCCTTGGTGTTGGTCTGCGCTCTTTGAGTGCTTTTCTAGTTAATTACTAGATAAAAATTTATTGTGATATCGTTTATATGAATGCAACACAATATGAATGTTTCCTGAGTGTTATGTCACAGTTTTATAATGTTTCCTTTGTGATGTCATGGCCATATCATGTGATCCGGGTTTGACTCATGATGCCTCTTTTTTCGTGTTAACAAAAAGGGAGTTATGATGTCATTATGTCATGTGATCAGTACAAGGCTTTTTATGTCGCTTTAAATTTGACCTTCAAAGAACTTGTTTTTACTGCATGCAATACATGTATGTTCAGTTTTTTCTTTTTTTAAGGAATGTGCTTACATTTTATTGATTACATAAAGAGCATTGATGGCATGATGATTTTTAATGAAGAACAAAAAATGAAGAATTGCCCTATCATTTGTTTCTATATGCATGATGCCTTCATTCAATTTAAGAACTTAAAGAACTGCATATTAATATATTTCCAGCAATAATTAAAACATACCAAAGCAAGCTTGTTCTGCATTTTGAACATTCTACATAAGTGAATGTATGTTATGAATCTGAATTTTGGATACAGAAATGAACATTTTTGCACAGGAAAAAACGACAATATTTCATACTATATGAATAGGGGGATTTATTCCCAAATAAGAGTCCTATGGTATTTAATATGCAAAAAATATTAGAAATTACAACAGTTAAAGAGACTGCATTTTGACATTTTAATTTGATCATTGCCATACCATACATGTTGTTTTGGATTTTCTTCTTAGTTTCAAAATGGGCTATCATTTATTTTCCATTGGATTTGCATGATTTTTTTCCATTCCATTGTAAATGCCTGAATCCCCTACAGAATAGATGTTCTTAGCCTGTTTCATATTTAGGCAGATCATGTTGACAAAAATATAAATTAATATCAATATAGACAAATATTAATATGGATAAACAAACAGAAGTATTTGATCTTGAACATTATTTTCTGTTTGCACATGGAAAAAGATATTAATAACCATTTTTTATTTTAAGAAAGAAAATATGGAAAATATAAAGTGATTACTTATAAAGTCATCAATTTGAGAACAAAGAATTGACATTTTTTATCTTTTTTCTCTCCAATTACTTCACTGATGTTCCAAACTGAAAGCAGATTCAGGTTTGTTAGCAGATGATTGTATTGTAGAAAAGTGTTTCAAAGTGTTGTTGTGTTTTGTGTTTTCAAATGTTCTTACCACGAACTACAGTTTTACAAACAATATCAGGGGAGGATCCAGAGATATTTTCTGACAGGTTTCCGAATTATCTTTATTGATCCATGTTCCACTTTTGACCGTCTTCCGACAGAAAAAAATAGATATCTGTCAATGTAAACTTGAAAATCTGATCGTCTTCTGGAAGACCCAGAAGACAGCCTAAATCTGCCCCTGAATATGTAAAGTATCTAAATGCTTTAATGTCTACAAGTTTCATCTATTTTTCAGCTTGTGGAGACAAGCCATTTTTGTTTTACCAAAGAAATGATCATTTTTTGGGGCAGTCAAACAATGGAAAGATACTTTTACTGCATTATGTCTCTAAAGTATATTGTATTACATAAAATGACAGCATTTTATTTAGTTATAACACAGCTTAAAACTACATGAGAGAATAGTATGATAGAATGTACAAAATAAATCATGTTTACAAAGCACTGGGCTTATATATCCAGACTACCAAATTATGCAATAGTCAGGGGCGGATTTAGGACGTCTTTTCAGATTTTCAAGTTTACATTGAAGGGTGTCTAATTTTTCCGTCGGAAGACGGTCAGAAATGAAGAATGGATTGACAAAGATAGTTTGGAAGACTGTCAGAAAATATCTCTCAATCTGCCCCTGATAGTTACTGTTGAGTCACCTCGTTGCTATGATATTATTATGAAAGCATCTGGACATGTGCCCAACATTTTGATATTGCCTTCATATACAGTATGTTTCATATAATTGTAAGGCTGTAGTTCATGTTCACCAAGGTCATTTTCACACTGCAGGACTGGCTAAGACCAGAGAAAAAAACTAAAGAATTATATGTTACCATATACCATAGGCTGGTTCCACAAAAAGAACTTAAGGCTAGAAATTGTTCCAGACTTAAAAAGTGTTTAGTGTCCTTTGACCCTAAACAATTACAAATAATGAGTACAAATAAATATTTTGGCTGTTTTATTAAATGAAATACATGGCTAATGCTTTTGACCAAAGATATAATTATCCTTGTAAGTATGGTCTTGTCTTAGATCAAATTTGGTGAAATATTTGGTCTAAAGTTTAAATAAAATTATCTGTGTAAAGGACTTTTGTGAAAGTAGTATACCAAACTGGTCAGTTTCAGAGTTTAAAGGGAATTAAGGGATAAAGATCTGAGCTAATCCTGCAGTGTGGCTGTTTGATTTGATGTGAACAGATGTTGCGCTGTGACACATACATATGCACCTCCCCCACGCGCACACACACACACACACACACAAATGCACATGCTGTACCTTGTATAAAAAAAAGCATATTTTAGGTACTGCACATAGTCTGGCGCACTGGAGCACAGTCCACATATGTCGTAGTTCACTTGTTTTTCGTGTGTGGCACTATAATTGAGTGGGAGGGATGACCTCCACCACCCACCTCACCATCACCCTTTCAATGTGTTAGGAGTGAAGCACAACACATAGCATTGCATTTTGGATGAGACGAGATCACTTTTGATGAAATCTTTTATTTGTGTCTGTGTAAACATATGATATACAGGCTATTCTTTATAATTGAAGTATATCTTTGTCAGGAAGATTTTTAATGTCATGGGTTTTATCTATATTTATGTGCCTGTGGCTGCAATGTTGCTCTGACAAATATTGGAAAAACTTAAATGATATTTCCATCAATAATCTTTTAAAAATCATTCATGTTGGCTGCTCTCAGTGTTCATCTACTAGAAGTGCATTAAATTATTTTGAATACATTTTAAGTTTTAATGTCAATTCATTTGTTCAATGCTGCTTGGAATATATGTATTGGAATAATTTTGGTGTGAGGTATGTATAGCTAATTCTTTGATAATGTGCTACTTTTCATTTTTTTCTAGCTGTTTTTGAAAGATCAGCATTTTAATAAATTTCAATTATTGATGTCTGTCAATAATTTAGTTTATCTTACATAAAATGTCAAGCCATTTTTTTGTAAGTGTAAATTTCATTTGTCTGCCATTTTACTTATGTTGGCCATTTTGCTATCCCAACAGGTTTCTCCTAACTTTTGAACTTAAGTTCTCAGAATTATTTTTCAGAATGTCATTCCTAATGCTATGATAAAAATTTTATCACACTAAAATATTGAAAGTACATGCATAGTTGTGAAAATTGTCAGTCTAGACCAATCCCTCTTCCCCTTTATACTCACCACTTGGGGGGGGGGGGGGGGGGGGGGGGGAGTGACAATTGATGCATAACAGTCTCCAGGAGGCCAAAAGACATTCTAGGCATATTGTAAGCTATAGCACAGTGCTGTATATATATATATATATTCATACTTTATTCATTTGTACATTTGCCATGTGAGCAGGTATTTGTGGAGATAGGAAAGTAAAGCAACTGGCTCCTATCAGGAACAAGAGTCTGGCTACTTTCTAAAAGAAACATAAGTTGCCTGGAAGAGAGAAAATTGAAGATTGGCGAGAAGAATATATATCATTTAACAGCTGTTGATTTTTTATTCCAGCTGATTTACCACCACTCTGCTACTTATATTTATTTAAAGTTATAAATCAGTTTTAAATGTCGTTGTTTTTGTTCTTTTCATAGGTGATTGTTCAAATATACGGTGCCTGTACAATGCCACCTGTCAAAATGGCCGCTGCATTTGTCGCGAAGATTGCCCAAATCATTACGACCCCGTTTGTGGCTCAGATGGAGAGACCTATGATAACGAATGTGAGATGAATCGGGAAGCATGTATTACCAACACTGAGATAAGCATAGACCATCAGGGTGTTTGTGATGAGCTGTCTGGGTCAGGTAGATGAAGAAAATTAAGTTTCTCGGGGCCACTTTGTCTCAGCGCCCTGACCTAGCTGAGCTTGAATTCAATTCTGTGTGAACCAGCTTCTTCATTTTCAAATCTCCACATGTGCACTCCTATGAAATGGGATTAGAGCGAGTATTTGTGGAAAATTGCTCATGAAGTTGTCTTACTAACACGGTCTAAATCTCAAGCTACAGTGTTTGTCTCTGTGATTTATGAGACCTCTCTATACCTTAATGTATAATGGAGTAAAGGGTGACTTTGTTAAATGTTAACTGTGTAAGCGTAATCTTGATCATGAACTACTAAAAATTTACTTTATATTAGAATCAGTAAAATTTTGGATTGAATAGCATATAATCTCAGAGTGCCAAAAAATGTGATTATTTTGAATATTGTAATAACTGTACAGTAATATGAAATTTTTACTTTCATTTTTTGTGTATAGAACTATGACTATGGTTCCTTTTAGTATAAGTATCATACAAGTAGTTTCACTAGATTTGACATCTAACCTGTAGATGGTGCTTCTAATACTGCATGACTGCATATGAATGTTTATCATAACTAACTTGTATAAAGGAAGCAAAGCTCAAATTCAATCAGGATCTCTTAGTCTGAAAATAACACAGACAACCTTTTTTGGATGCAATTGCAGAATCTAGTTTTTGGCTGAATATTTGGTATTTTTTATAAACTAAGCGTTTTCAAGACCGTAAGTATACTTCTTTACTGCCAGCTTTCTTTTTGGTAAATTTACCTTATTTTTGCTTTATTGTCATTATTTTTGCGTGGTATTGGAGAATGTTGTTTTTCATATTCATACTCTTTTAATCAGAGAAACTTATTATTAGTGTGATGTGGTATGAGGCCTTATTCTACTTAAAGAAAAAATAATCTGGTATGGTAACTGATAGTGGCTTGTCTTATGCTGAAAAAGGGACATTTTTGGCTTTGTGCTGCCATCTTGTGACAAATTTTGCTTAAATGAATCAGATATAAATTATATGTAAACATATAATATATAACTTTCAGCATTAACATCTTGGGCTGCTGCTAAACTAAAATATATGCAAATGACTTTGGTTTGGGGTTAACCAAATGATTATCTCTTTTCTGCGAATTTATATTTGTAGTGCAGTAATTTCTAAAGTGCAATCATTATGGCTACAAATCCGATGAATATATCGGGCTGCAGTTTGGAACTGCGACTATTATTCTGGGTAATTTAAAAACAGAATTCTGTTATTATACCACTAAAGGCATTTTCAACACACACAGGTTCAGGAGAAACAGTATGTGAAGAAACTACATGTCGCTTTGGTGGAGTTTGTGACTTTGACGCAGAAGGAAATGGATGTGTCTGTAAAACAGATTGCCCGGCCATTGGGTAAATGTTACCAAATTTCTTTTGATAACTGTTATATATGATGTCAGTTAATGTACCTATTGAAGTTCTTGTCTAAACTTATAGATACGCCACAAAACCACCATGTGAATGCGATGTTTTAACTTGTTAAAACAAGTTCGAAGCGTGAGTGGGTGTTACATACACCCGGACGTTGTTCTGACAAGTGGAACATTTGACTTAAACTATGATCAGTTTTGAGAGAAAAAGACTGCAGCATGAATTAATTAACAAACATTTATTCTAGCTATCATACATACTGTATTAGTATTTAAACAGAGATTGTTACAAAGAGCAAAGGGGTGAATACTTTCTTTTAATGGCTTCTTTCTGCAGTGTAAATGCATATTTAGTCTGTAAATTAGTATTACAACTGAAAAAAAATGGTGTTTTTGTTACCAGGTCGCCAGTTTGTGGCAATGACGGCAAGCGGTACATGAGTAAATGTCACTTGGAAGTCGCCATGTGTAAACGCCAGAGAGAGATCAAAGAAGTACCATGTAATGTTGTTCAGCTGAATTTTCTGCATTAGAATATCAAACAGATGTTATAAATAGATGATGGATCTTTCTTAATCGCAAATTTTAAAATTTTAGAATGCATACAATTATTTATCTTGAAGTTATATTTAAGGGTATTTTATAATAAAACAGAAAAAGTGATGGGCTAGTCAAAAAATTGTGAATATAACACAAAATGCATGCATCACTGACATCACTGACTCTTATTTTTTATTATTATTTTTTTAATGACTCAATATTAATGACAATTCCAGGCCCTCCTTCGATTGCCTGTGATGGAGAGACGCCGTTGGTCAACCCAAGAACTGGCAAAGACTATGACTGCAGCATTGACAGTCTTGATGACCCTTGTCCAGCTAACAGTTACTGCCACAAGGGACCAAAGTTTGCCAAATGTTGTTTGGAAGTTACAAGTAGGTGCAAAATTATTGGAACAGAAATCATCTGAACTACCTGTTGCTGAAATTGAGGCTGTGTACACTGCATGATGGCATATTTAGCTTGGGTTAATTTTAGTAGTATTTTAAAGTTATATCAATAAATTTTCTCTGCTTTCTTTAATTAATTAATTTTATCAGTAAATGTTAAAGTATTTTAGTATTGTTATTTTTAGACTTTTTAATTATTTGTAAAGTGCATTGAAATGTAAAAAATGGAATGCGCTATATAAGAAATAAATATTATTATTATTATTATTATTAT